CGGCTGATTCCAGGAAGCCGGGGGCAGAGCAACTCTGCCTAGGGCTTCCTGTAGTCAGCCGCTGATCAGTTTCAGCAGCAGCTGAATCTGGAGCCAGTTCCGACTTACATACAAATTCAACTTAAGAACAAACCTATAGTCCCTATCTTGTACGTAACCCGGGGACTGCCTGTAGTTATATATGGTTTATGCTATATATTCGTGTCTCGTATTTCATTAAGAACTTTTAAAACGCTCACTGTAAATGTATTCTACAGGATTTTTTAGATCAGTCATAATTACTGAAATAATGACAAGTTCCACATCAAAAAACCATTGCCTACCCAAGATGAAAAGCCAATTGTCTAAGTTGATTCTGAAAGAGACAACAAAGTTAACACAATTACTAGGAATAATCACTGACATTTACCTGGATTGATTCATTTGAGTAATCCAAATACAGGTTGAAACTCTGTTAACCGGGACTCCCTGATCCCCTGTGGAGGGCTGCCCAGTGCACCTCATCTGGACTGCTAGGTACAACCTAGCAGAGCTGGTGGCAGGGCTGCTCAGTTCCAGCTCACGCCAAGTCCCAGACCATTGCACCTCTGCATTTTAAATATAATAAGGGCTGCCCGGTTCTTGCTACATTTAAAATGCAGAGCCACAATGGGGCCCCTTATAGATTAATTGTGTAGTCAACACAATTACTTGCTTCTTAACATCCTTAGACAGGACAGTAGTTAATATGATACAAGAAGAAAAGGCACCCAATGAAATTAACTGACAGCAGGTTTATAACAGAAGGAAGTACTTGTTAACCCACTACACATTCAACCTATAGAACTTCTGACCTTCACAATATTCCCTGGCAACAAGCATAACTGGGTCCAAAAATAATTAGGTAAGTTCATGGAGGCTAAATTCACCAATGGCTATTACCCAAGCTGGTCAGGGATGTAACCTCAAATCTCAAACTTTGACAATTGCTAACTACAGGCTGATCAACAACTCTTGCACCATATGGCTACTACTACAACCGGGATTCCTGAACTTTTGATTTTCCACCATAAATCCTCCATTTTCCAGGGCTCAAGCTGTAAATATGTACCCTCACCCCAATAGATGCTCACTAATGAAAATGTGCCAGTATAACTCTGAACCAACTAAATTTATTTTCAACATTTAAATATGCACACATCTGTTAAATTGATTTGGAGAGAACAAGTTGACCAAGCATTGGTGGGGGGAGTTAAAATATTTTAATCTTAATCACTCTTTACAGAGAAAGTTCTGTTTTTCCCCGATCAACATATTTCTAATGCACCCAACACAGTAGCATCTACGCATGCATAGATTTGCTTATGTTAAAAAAAAAAGCACACTTTCTTCTCGGCAGATTCTTGCCTGGATCCCTTTCAGTAGAAGCATTTTACTGGGAGACTTTGAAAAAAACACTAACATAAACAAGGGGAGGCTCAGATTCATACTGATCTCCATTGATAGTACTCTAGCTGCAGAAATACCTGCCTGTGAAGTGTAAACCCTTGAGACTGTTAAGAACATAAGAACAGCTAAACTGGGTCAGACCAAAGGTCCACCTAGCTCAGTATCCTGTGTTCCAACAGTGGCCAATGCCAGATGCCCAAGAGGGAGTGAACAGAACAGGTAATCCTCAAGTGATCCTGTCATTCATTTCCAGCCCCTGACAAACAGAGGGACACCATTCCTATCCATCCTGGCTAATAAGTATTGATGGCTCTAACCTCTATTAATTTATCTAGTTCTTTTTTGAACCATGTTAAAGTCCTGGGTACTGACTGGGAAAACTGGATAGGGAACCACCACTGCATATATAGTCCCTGGATCAGAATGGGCAAAACACAGCCTGCCAGCTGGATCCGACCCACTGAACATTTTCCTCCTGCTCGCCATGACCCTCTAGGACACAGCCAGAACTGGAGGAAAATGCCCCGTGCACAGAGGGACACTCAGGCAGTCTGCCTGCCTATCACAGCCTTAGCCACGCTGTTCCTGGAAGTGCCACAGCATGCATGTCTCTGCAAGCCCCCTATGGTGAGGGGGAAAACAGGTCTCCACACACCGACCACACCTCCAAACTCACCTTCACAGCTCCCATTGGCTAGAAACTGGCAGGCAGCATGCAGAGACCTGTTGCCCCCCTCTTCTCCAAGAGGCTTGCAAAGACATATTTGCCAACAGCAGCCAGCAGTTTTGAGTGACATGGGACCACCATGGCATGCGGGAAGCTCATCTGCCTGAGCACTCTGCTGCACCATCGGTCAGGTGCCACTTATAGTAAGCACCTCGCTCCCCCTTCCACACCTTAACCTTTTGCCCCAAGTCAGAAACCTCTCCTAGATCGAAACTCTTTTCCAGACCCTGCCCTCCACCTACATCACTGACCTGGACAGAACCCCACCTTCTGCCCTTTCCATTAATATGATAGAAAAGCACAGCCCATGATCACTTTCCAAAAGTCTGGGAGCGTCTCTTTTGCAAAAATTACTGTCCACTCCTGGCCTGAGTGATATGCTCTTCAGTTGGTCTAATGTGGCAGGCCACACCAGAAACTATAGTGGTCTTGTGACCTCACCAGTAGCCTTCTGGTGATAAAGTCACAAACTAGCACAGATAGATCGCCATGTTAGATAAATGGGTACAGCATCCTGGTGGTGTGTGATGGAAATACACTGACATTAGAGCATCCAGAAATCCATAAGGGACTCCTGAGCCTACGCACCAGCTTGAAAATCAGCGAATAGGATATTTAAAAAATTGTGTTTTTTTAATGAGAAAGCTTATTTAAACTTGATTAAACTAGGGATGTTAGAGTTTAATCGATTAACCAATAGGCTGATACTTATTGGTTAAACTCTGTCCCGTGTCCAGGGGGGGCGTCGCTGCAGTTTCGCTACTTATTTAAGCTTTATATTGATAAGACCGCAGCAACTGTAACTGCTAAGATTTTTAGTAGTTACACAATCACCTTATTAAACAACTTTTAACATCCCTAGATCAGAGACTGATCAGGAACACCAGCTCATAGCCATATAATGCTAAATTACACTGCCTTCTACAGGAAATATAGATGAGGCTTTATCACTGCTTAGGACTGTGATACTCGTTGTGATACTCATTTCCATTGCGAACTCATCCTTCCAGTGATTACAGCCCATCTCAACATTTTGGAAACGCAGGTCTCAAAGGGTGAAATACAGAGCTTCTGTTTATAAATGTATAGAAATTAAGAAATCACGTCAGCGACAGGGGTTGAATTCCCATACTCAACAGAATTCCCAAACAACTCTATTACAGGCAGTCCCTGGGTTACGTACAAGATAGGGACTGTAGGTTTGTTCTGAAGTTGAATCTGTAGGTAAGTCAGAACTGGCATCAGACGCTGCTGAAACTGATCAGTTTCAACCGCGGCTGAATCTGGACGCCAGTTCAGACTTACCTACAGATTCAACTTAAGAAACCCAGGCGTCCCCAAGTCAGCGGCTGCTGAAACTGATCAGCGGCTGATTCCAGGAAGCCTGGGGCAGAGCAGGGATGGTGTAGACGGAGCTTGATCCTGCCTTGAGGGCGGGGGGCTGGACTCGATGACCTCTCGAGGTCCCTTCCAGTCCTATTATTCTATGATTCTATGAAGGCAGGGTGTGGGGGATAATGCAGTTAGGGTTGGTGGATGTGAGGAGGGACCCAGCAGAGAGTTAGGGGTGCAGGAGTCAGGGTTGAAGAATGTGGGGGGATCAGGGCAGGGGGCTGGGTGTACAGGGAAGGCAGAGGGGACTGAAGCCCCCCATTAAGATTTGTACCAGGAGGCTGCTTGCTCTCCGCCTTCCCATCACTGTTAGGGAGGAAGGGGAAAGTGCACAGCTCACCTGCCCCCTGTGCTCCCCAGCCAGAGGGAGGATTGCAGCAAACTGTGCACTTTCCCCTCGCTCCCTGAGGGGAGAAAAGCCTGGTCTGCTGGGGGGGAGGCACTAGCTGCACCCCCTCCCCAGCAGACCAGGGAGACGGGGGTGGGGACGCCCAAGTCCTCCACGGCTTTGCTCCGTCTCCGTGGTCTGCTGACCTGGGAGACACGGAGCAAAGCCGCAGAGCACGCGGGCAGCGGGACAGTCCAGGCGCGCCACGCTGTCCCACTGCTGGCGTGCTCCGAAGCTTTGCTCCCCATCTCCCTGGTCTGCTGGTCAGACCAGGGAGACGGGGAGCAAAGCCTTGGAGCACACCTGCAGTGGGACAGCCCGGGCGCGTCTGGGCTGCCCCGCAGCTCCAGCCCCTCCGCGGCTTTGCAAAGCCGCGGGGGAAGCCGGCGACGGGACAACCCAGGCGCGCCTGGGCTGCCCCGGAGCCCTAGCCCCTCCGCGGCTTTGTAAGTCGTAAGTCGGATCCGCGTAAGTCGGGGACTGCCTGTATAGCCTTTCCACTTAATATAATGGAATATAAACTCAGTCTAAAGTCTTCCATTAAAAGTCTATTACATTATCTGAATTCCTCTGCTGACCAAGGGAGGCATCACTGTTGCTGATGCTAGTTTCTTATTTTCCCTTTGCTGACTCTAATGAATTTCTGAGGAGAAGCAATCTGACTCTTCCTCTCTTCTACTTTTCATTCTTTCATCCTTTCTCTTTATATCTATCGGATTCTCACTTAAAAAAAACTATGAGCATCTTTTAATCCCATTTATACCCACTGTTTTGAGTCACTTTCCTTTAATATATTTATTTCACTTTGCAAGAAACATCTAACTTCATTAGGACCCCACACATGATCAAAAAACACACTAGCAAGATTAACACTAGCAAGAAACACACTAAAGCAAGATTTTTTTCCCAACTGGCAGGCACTACTGCATGCAGAACATAGCCCAATGATATAAGTCAATCAATCAAGATAGCTTTGTTCTTCATGTGATTCAGAGCATGGCTTTACAATTCCATTTTGTACAAAGATATTGGGTCTTTTAAAATATTTACTCTTAAAGTTAATTTGATATTTCATTCCAAAGCAGAACAAACTTGCAAAAGGTCTAAAGTCCAAAAATGAAACAGGTATTAACAGTCCTAACTAAGTTTTAAGGCATTTGCTTTGTTTAAAAAGAAGTGTGATGCAAAGCTATTACCTGTATAACAGGAAATATGTGAATGAAATCCAATCCCTGGATCTGATGCGGCTCCAAACGATGAGGGCACTTCATTTTTGGCAAGACAGACACAATTTTCTCTGTTAAGGCACTATTTTAAAAAAATCAAAGTGTATACAAGGATTTTTAATTTTTTTAAAAAGATTGGCATTTTCAAAACATGCAATATTATTGTTACCATGTTGGTCCTAGGATATTAATTTCCAAATTAGGCAGCAGTTTGAAAGTGCCCTCTAGTGGTTGAAATTGAATATAACAAGCTGAAAAGAGAACTCTCATCTGTGAAGTCATATCTTTTTAAAAATTAATAAGCCTATTGCTTGTTTCTTAATTTCCATTATTCAACATAACATTTTAAAATATTATGGCACTGTGGAGCTGGCACCCATGCTTGCTGGCTTCTGCCTGCTCCTCCCTGCCTCTGTAGGAGGCAGCAGGGGAGGAAGGGAGGGAGTGCAGATCCGTGGAGCTGACATGTAGAGAGGTGGCTTGAAAGCTGGCTCCCCACACGTATTAGCTCCTGCCTGCTCCCTTCACCTTCCGTGCTGCTGCCTCTCTGTTGCCTTTGATACAGAGGCAGCAAGGGGAAGAATGCATGTAGTCAACAGGAGTAACCAATAAGCTCAGGCTTCTCAGTTAATCATGTAGTCTACACATTGACATCCCTACATCTTAGGTTTTTAAATATCCAAATACTGTTATAACAACTATTTTCTACTGTTTACTTTTTGCATTTGCTTTCACTAGAACATTTAAAACAATCTATGAAGTTTCACCTTGATGCTTGTAAAATAGCACAGTACTTTATTTTGAGTTCCAAATACTCCAGGGGAATGTTTAAATACAAACTTCTTTGAATTATTTTTTTTAAACAGTAAGCTAAAAAATTTTCATTAAAGTAACAGTATCAAGAATGACTTTATTTTACAGACACGGTTACATTTTTGCCTTAGATTTTTTTATTTTATTTTAACAAAAGTTTAGTTACAACTCAACACCTAATACTTAATAGCAAGAGAAGAAGAAAATATATTCATCTCAGTTTTCTGTTTCTTATGTGTATTTAAAGACACTCGGTGAATAGCTCATTTCCACAAGTGGTGTGGCTCTCTCTCAAAGCAACAGGGGAGAATAACAACACTTTTTAAAAAAAAGTAATGTGATTATAATCATCACCTAAAATCAACTGGGGTACACTGTAGCTGAAACCATATTCCATTTATTTAAAATGGGAAAATAAGCTTTTAATGCAATTGAAACATACCTGCAATAGACCTTTCTTAGGTCCCTATCATGTGAACACTCTCCATCCTCTCTTCCTCCTCCAGTGTAGGGTACTTGTGAGTGAGTTCCCTTTTGTAAGAACTTAGACCACCATTTCATTCTGTGGATTTTATTGACTAGTGATTGCAATTCTGAGTTTGAGACCACAAAAAAGGACCAATGGCAATTTACAGTAAAAATTATCTTCAGCAACAGACAAGTTAATCTTCCAAAGGTCAGAGAACTGATTATACTAAATACATGGGAGCCCTTGGGAAGTTGCTTCCTAAAACAGGACATTTCTTAGTAAAATGGATCCCTTCTATAGGTTTCACATGTATATACATAATAGCGATTTGTATCAAATTTCTGACAGTATGAAAAACCAATTCATGATTCCTACTTTATCAACTTACATTTTCTGGCCAATTGTAGAATTTTCCTGAAACAATAAATCAACATCAATATCAAAGCTGCAAGTAGTGATGCACCAGGTCATGCCGCCAACTACCTAAAAATAAGGGAAAAAATGGTTATTTTCACTTCATGTTCAAGAGGGGGAATTTAAAAAAATAGTATGGAAATACAGCCAATTTGGCAACATGAAGCCAATCTCCTTCTTGTCTTACAATACAGCATGATTCATATGTCATCTGATATTTCATCAGAATATAGTGAAGAAAAAAGAGAACATCATTTGTGATGTTTCAGATTATTTTTAAACTTGATTTTCTAGTTTTCTTGAGATTGAGTTGTCTAACATTCAAGTAGATTCTCTAACACTCAAGTAGATGAATACCTAAGTACAGTGTCAACCATGAAGAATCAAAGATTTTAAACAAGGATGAAGCAGCTGTTTTAGAGATTATGAGATGTAAAAATTCAACAAACAAGGATTGAAACATCTGTCCTCATTTACCTAATCCAAGTTTTCCCATTGTTAATCCTTTATTATCATCATTTGCATTAAAAGTAGCACACAAAAGGCCCTCAACATGGGAAGCAATACACCCTCACCTGGAGACATTGCAATCTTAGACCATAATCCTTAAATATGCTCAACTTCAAACACCAGAGCAGTCTCATTGGAGTTTACCCTAGGGATGTTAATCAGCTAATTAACCAGTTAATCGAGTAGTAAAAGGAATTTCCATCGACTACTCGATTAGTTGATAAGAAGGTGCTCCTTATCCCACTGCCTTTCTGCCTTGGAAATGTACAAGAGCCACAGCAGTTACTGTACATTTCAAAGGGTGAGAGGCAGTAGGAACCCATGCCAGCGGGAAGCAAAGCAATTGCCATTGGCACAGGTTCCCCTCTGTGCCTCTTAAAAGGCTGAAGCACAGTGGGGGTGGAGGGGGGGAATCAGGTGAAAGCCAGAATAGCTGATTCCCAGCTTGTGCCCAGTCCCCGCTATGCCTCTGCCTCCCCTGCTGCCCACAGAAGGTGGGAGAACCAGCTTTTAAGCTGGCTCCCCACAGCACTGGCTCCTGTTCTCACCCCCCGTCTCCCGCTGCCTCTCTCGGGGCGGGGGCAGAGGGGAGGGAGCCAAGCAACCAGTCGAATCACTAGTCAAAATATGCTTATCGGAAAGTCGACTAGTTGCTTACATCCCTACCCCATATGGGGGCGGGGAGCTGCTCCAGCCCCTAGAGGTTAATCTTTTACATCCCTAGAAGAGACATTTGGGAAGATCATTAAATGATCCGCTGAGACTCTCAGCAATTTTCAAGTTGTCTGTGAAAAAACAGTTTGAAAATCCCTGATCTAGTGTAACAGTTGGTAGAAAGGGGAGGTATTTTTATTATAACATTTGTTTGTTAAGCAATTCATAAAAAGGCCTATAAAATATTCTATACCATAAACATATCTAAATAACCCCATGGGATGATCAGAGTATAAGACACCAGGTTCCACAACTGAATGTGTTGGAGTACCACTGAGGTGTTCATTTCTGCAAGTCAGTTATAGGATCAGAGTCTCAAGATACTATTTCTGCTGGAGTCTTGTGCTGTGACTGCCAAAAGCTCTATAAATATAATAGTTTGCAGTTTTAATGAGCCAAAGGTTTATAGGACAGCCTGACTATTCTATGTACAAGCAAGCTACTGAAAGAAATGAAAGAGCCCAACTTCAAAGGCTCTGCCATAATTACAAGGTACGCATTTTTTAAGCAAGATTCAGGGATTTATAATCAAGTCAAATGTTAAACCAACAAAGCCTACCTCTTAAATCACATTTACTTCCTGTCTTTGAGGATGAAGGTCCGTATAACAGCCTCATTTTCATAAATCATCTTTCAGAGTTATACCACAATGTAAATGAGAATAAGGGTTGTCACGCAATTAAAAATATCAACTGTGATTAATTGCACATTAGCAATTAATCGCACTAAGTAATCAAATAATGTGAATATTTCTGAAAGCTTTCTACATTTTCAAATACTGATTTCAATTACAACATAAAATACGAAGTGTGCGAACACAGACTATAACAAGAAATTACAAATGCAGAATTATGTACAAAAACCAACTGCATGCCAAAATAAAACCATGTAAAGTTTTAGAGCAGGGGTCGGCAACTTACAGCATGCATGCAATAAATGGCACGCGGGGCGGGAGCTCAGCCCCGAGAGCCTCAGGATTGCCACGCAGCCGGAGGCTGGAGCACTAGGTCCAGCTTCCTACTGGGAGGGCAGGAAAGCGGCGCACGCTGCTTGGCGTAGGGTCCCGGGCGGCCGAGCAAGACCCTATGCTCAGCTCCACATCCCTGGGGCTGCTCCTGCTCTGCCTGGCATGCAGCTCCCTGGAACTAAGGGGTTAACACCCTTGCCCTGCTACAGGCTCTGCCCCCTCTCCAGGCAGGGGCGGGGCTGGGTGGCCCATCACAGTGGCACACTGGAGCATGCGCTGCTCCCCACAGGGTGTATGTGGGGGCAGGGAGTCCCTTCCCCAGCAGCCCACTGTGCATGGCCAGGCTGGAACCAGCCCCAGGCTCTGTCCACCCCCACACAGCCTGCAGATGAGGGGCAAGCCCTGGCAAAGGACTGGCTCAGGGAAGGAAATCAGCCCCCAGCCCTCCTGCTCTCCCCACCCCTCCTTGTCTCAGCGCTGCTGCCCTACCAGTGAGTGCACTGGAAGCACGGGGATGTGAGGGCAGGAGAAGGGAGCGAAGGAGGATGCGGGCAGGGAATACACTAAGGGGGATGGAATGATGCAGGGGATCAGGTTAGGGGAAAACATGGGGCTGAAGGGAGCGAGGCTGGAGCACAGGGAAGACGTGAGGCGGGATACAATTTTACTTTGCAGAAGCTGTACTTTCCTTGACTTCCCACTTTTTTGCCTCCCTCCCCAACAGGGAAGACGTGAGGCGGGATACAATTTTACTTTGCAGAAGCTGTACTTTCCTTGACTTCCCACTTTTTTGCCTCCCTCCCCAACTAGCTATTTGGCTGCATTCTCTCCCACTCACCTTTTCTGCATTCCTCTCCTAACCCCCTCCCATCCCCAAACTCCTCCTCCTACCCTCACCCTCTCCGCTGTCAAACTCCCTTCCAGACCCTGCCCTCCTCAACCTCTCCTACAACTCACCTCCCACCCCTATCCCACTCGCTGGCAGCCCTGTCCCACCCCAGAGCCTAAGGAGATCCACAAAATCCACTAACAGTGGAACCCCCAAAAAGTAAATCTGGCCTATAGGAAGCCTTGAATCTCAATCTTCCCTGACCCTTTCCTTTGCCCCATGGGGCTGGAGTGCCAGAAGAGTGAGGTGTCTCAGTTGGGGGCAACATCAGTGACGGTTGGGGGTTTCAGGAGGCTTTTTTTGCTTCTCTTGTGTGGTCCCCAACTGATTTTTCTGTGGGTCTGTGGCCCCTGACCCCAAAAAAGCCTCTTGCCATAAATAAAGCATTGAAACCTTTTGTGTTGGACATAAATTAATATTTTACTTTATTTAAAACAAAGTTTGATAAACTAACATGAGAAAGTTAAAACTTCTAATCTGTTTAATAATTAAATTAAACCATTCTTCCTACCTGCAGCACTAGCAAAATGGCTCAGGCGTAATTATGTAAACAACAGTGAGTTTCCATTAGCAACTACTGATCTGCAGAAAGGTTTTCATTGACCAAGGTGATCCATGGGGTGTGCACTGAAAACAGCTCCTCCCTCCCTCTAGTGGCACAGCCCAGGGCAGGAGTTTTAAATCTTGGCACACTGCTTCAGAAAGTATCAGAGGGGTAGCAGTGTTAGTCGAATCTGCATAAACAATGAGAAGTCCTGTGGCACCTTATAGACTGACAGATTTATTGCAGCATAAGCTTTCGTGGGCAAAGACCCACTTCGTCAGATGCATGTGACGAAGTGAATCTTTGCCCACAAAAGCTTATGCTGCAATAATTCACTTCAGAAAGGTTGCCCACCCCTGCTTTAGAGCCTGCAAATCCCCACAGTCCTACTTCTTTATTCAGCCTATCACTCAGACAAACATTTGCAGGAGATAATGCTGCCCGCTTCTTGGTTACAATGTCACCTGAAAGGGAGAACGGGCATTCATATTAGGGATGTTAGAGTTTTCACCAATTATCTGTTTAACAGACAAGCTTTATGTTTATCAGTTAATGGTATCAGTTAAACTCAGCCAGCAGGAAGCTTGGTGAGCAAAAGCTGCCGACTGCTCCTGGGGAGGAGGTGGCAGCAAAGTCTCCTCCCTGGAGTGGAACCAGCAGGGGCGGGCAGCCCTGCTCCTAGGTAGGCTTAGCTACCTAGTCTTTCTTTCAGTTGACATTATAAATAAGGACTAGGCAGCATTATCTCTTGTAATGTAAATTAACTTGCTTCTCTTAGCAATTGCTAGATCAAGAAACAGGACTTTGTAGACTTGGGAACATTGCTTTGTTTCTGAGTGCAGCTATAAAACAATAGAAGCCTACCCTAGTAACTTTCATGATAAAGATTGCACTAGATGAATTGAAAAATACTATTTCTTTTACCATTTTCTAGTGCAAATATTTATAATCAATAATAATAGATAATAGCAATGTACACTTTATTTTCTATTGTAACTGAAATCAATATATTTGAAAATGTAGAAAAACATCTCCAAATAAATAATAAATATAAATCAGTATTCTATTGTTTAAACAGTGAAATGAAAACTGTGATGAATCTCAATTTTTTAAATCACAATTAATTTTTTGAGTTAATCACAGGAGTTAATTGTGATTTAACTGTTTAGCAATCAAACTCCAGTTGCAACTAGGAGTGATACATAAAGCTAAATTTACCAGTATTCACATCAGAATTTTAGGGCTTGATTCTGCAAACAGTGATGTACGTGCTTAGCTCTATGCTTGCAAATAGTCTCAAAGGTGTCAACAAGGCCACTCGAGTAGCAACTGCAAAACGTGGGGGCCTTATATCCTTGAAATAGGAACTCAGTTTTGTTCATTTCTTCACTATATTACAATATATGTATCTATTTGCTGTTCGTCTCCCTTCCTTCTTACCACCTGGAACTATTAAGATGAACTTGAAAAATATTTTTATTAAATGCAGTAAACTATGTCTAATTAATAATCCTGGATTATAGTCTCACCTTGTCAAAGGGTGATAATCCTTTGATTCTTGCTCTGAAATACCCAGCTGCTACCAGCAACTCCAAAATTTCTGCCAATTTGATGTTTTGTTCTTCATCTTCTCTGGTTTCAACCTAACAAACATAACATTAACCCTAATTTTAAAATACTTTGTTCAAACTTCTCCTCCAACCACCCAACATAAGGACTCAAAATAAATTTTCTTTTTTAAATAGACCACATGTATATTAAATACACAAAGTTTCTCTCCCACACTTCCCTTCTGATGGCAATCTGATAACATCTTTATGTCAGTTACACCAATTGCACACACGGAAAAACATTCAAGTACTTCATGTGCTTCTAGATGGCTTTAATATGAAATGTTTTGTCCTGTTTGAGAAAACCTATATTACCCAATTGCTCTTGCCCTATTATTTTAATCAATCTGCATCTCTTCTCTAAATGAAGTGTTTTCTCCATCTTTTAAACAAACAGTTCAGCTATTGAATCATAGAACTGGAAGAGACCTCAGAAGGTCATCAAGTCCAGCCCCCTGCTCTAGGCAGGATCAATTCCAACTAAATCAACCCAGCCAGGACTCTGTCAAGCAGAGACTTAAACACCTCTAGGGATGGAGACTCCACTACTTCCCTAGGTAACCCATTCCAGTGCTTCACCACCCTCCTAGGCTGTGTCCAGACTCGGGGTTTTTTTCGGGAAAAGTAGCCTTTTCCCGAAAAAACTTCCCCTGCGTCCAGACTCAAGCCGCGTTCTTTCGAAATTAATTCAAAAGAACGCGGCTTTTCTTTCAATGGCGGTAAACCTCAATTTACGAGGAAGAACGCCTTCTTTCGAAAGTTCCTCTTTCGAAAGAAGGCGTTCTTCAATGTAAATAGGGCTTCTTCAAAAGAGAGCATCCAGACTCACTGGATGCTTTCTTTCGAAAAAGCAAGCCGCTTTTTCGAAATTTCTCCGTGCAGTCTAGACGCTCTCTTTCTAAAGAGGCTCTTTTGAAAGATGCTTTCGAAAGAGCCTCTTTCGAAAGAGGCTTGCAGTCTAGACATAGCCCTTGTGAAATAGTTTTTCCTAATATCCAACCTGGACCTCTGCCACCACAACTTAAGACCACTTCTCCTTGTTCTGCCATGTGTCACTACTGAGAACAGCCTCTCTCCATCCTCTTTGGAACCTCCCTTCAGGAAGGTTCCATGTCTGTGCCTGCTTTTTATTTGATCTCCCTATCCCTTCTGTTTTAATGTAAATCCAAATTATCTGGGCATCTATTCCCTTCCCATAGCTCAGGTAGGATTCCCTTGATTTTGTAGATTTCTTTCGGACACTCAGAATACCACGTGTTGAAATTTAACATTTTCACAAGTTGAACAGGGTAACAGATAAATTGTTGTGGGATTCCACTGTTTCCTTTAAAACAATTTTCAACAGCCCAGAGTAGGACAACAGCAGCACTAATATTGAGCATTTATATGAAGGGTTTTGGTGAGGGTTTTTTGTAATTTCCAAAGCACTGTACACACAGTAGCTATGTATTACACCGGTCAGTTCTATGCATTAAGCTCCTTTTCGGGTAGGAAATGAGAATGTCAGTGACTTTCCGATGCCTTACAGAAGAATCAGTTATAGAGCCAGACTACACAAGTTCCTGTCTCCATGCCTTTTGCACAATCGGCTAGAAACATCCTGCCTCTTTCTAACCCAAAAGTCAATGTAGGAAAAAAAGGAAGCAAGGCTGGGAAGCCTTTGCAGTTATTAATAAAGGAAAACAGACACTCAAGTGTCCCCAGCTGTTTAACTGTGGTAGAAACCTTCTTACAATCTGGAAGCATCTCAATAGGTTTACATGGAAACTTTTAGACACGGAAGGGACCCGAGGCTGCATACGCGCAACGCTACACAGAGAGGGACCAGAAGGGCAACGCAACCCAGCAAGGCCGGGCCCTTAGCCCCTCTCACCTGGGAGGGGCAGCCACATCCCAGGTGCCCAGCGCGGGAGCTGC